GGCGCCCGGTGCGGCGGGAGCTGCGCCCGGCCGAGAGCGCCGCGGTGCGGGTGACACGTCCCCGCGGACCCCCGGCGTGGGGCCCTGACACAACGCGGCTCCGGCGGGACCCCTAGGGTGGGCTGTGACAGCAGGAATTACTGCAAACGTGCAGAAAAAGGGAAGACTCGCTGCGTGACTTAACCCAGCTGCAAAAGTTCCTTAAGTGACAAAGTAGAGATGTTACCATCATCTTTGGTCTTAGCACCCTGGGCCGTTTCCAGCAGTCCAGCGGCTGTGTTCCTGTTGGGAGACTAGTTGTGTTTTAGTGAGAACAGACAGTGATCCGGAGAGCATCTCCTGCCCAAGCCAGGGCTTCAGCAGCAACGTCACCAGTTCTGTGTGTGGGAGTCTAATACCTGACTTGGAGGGCCTGGGTGATGCTGGAGCATCTCAGTTTTCCTCTTTCTTTTTTTGCTTCAATCTCTAATGGTGTCCTTGACTAAATATCCCATTATTCCATTTTGTAACTGCTAAGTCTGCTTCCAAATCAGCAGTCTCTCATTTTTTATATATCTGAATATTCCAGGTGTTCAGTTCTGCGAATACAAACTCACGTGTTCGGCAGGAACGACACCTTGAGAAGCCGAGTCCCTTCCCCCTGCTCGTGCCGGGGCTTGGCCGGCTGGCGGGTGCCCTCCTCTTTGGTGTCCCCAACAGGCTGCGGGTGGCCGGCCTTGCCCTGGAGGAGAGCAAGGCCGGACGGTGCCGAAGCGGCGCGGGCCACAGCGGGAGGCGGGCGGGCTGCGTTCCCTGGCCTCCCGCTCTGCGCTGCGTGCGGGAGCCCCGGCAGGCCCGGACAGTCGGGTTTGGAGCAGGCTTGGGCACCGGGAGGGAGCGTCCCCCCGCCCGGGGCTGCGCGGCGTCTCGCTCCGGCGGTTTCCACCTCCCACTTGCCTTCTCTGCCATTTCTCCTTTTCCCTGCCAAGCTTCCAAAAGAGGCTGCTGCCTGTCACTGTTCTGCTGCATGGGGACAACAGGTGAAACGTAGCCAGAATTCTTGGGGGACAAAAATACTCTTCTACCTTCATAGCTGAAAACAGCCAAATCCTTTCTGCTGAAGGATTTCAAAATATGTTTCTTCCTTGTAGAAAGGTTTAGCTGTAACTTTGAAAGTTTGCAAAGTTACAATCAAAGATGATCTCCAATTGGATAATGTGTAACAAATGCTAATGCCAGGCTCACTTATCACTGGTTATTCCCTGGTGCTCTGCCTCTTTCTTCCTTTCCCCTCCATGAATTAGAATTAGCAGTTTTTGAATTATATACTATGAGTAACTATAAGTGCACTACAGCATTTTTCACTCTTACAGCTCATTTAATTTCTGAGATCGAGGAAGAAGCATTTCAAGATGGCATGTATGCATTTCTTGTTATGGTGGGAAGGAAAACAAGAATTATGCTTCTTGATGATCTTCTCTAGAAGAAAAATTTCTTACCACATTGAGAAGACGATCATTTTCCTCTTGTCTTATTTGTCTCAGGCGTTTTTGCATGTGTGTTTTGGTTTTGTGTCTTCTTTTTTCCAGTTAGTCTTTTATGGCTGTTGCACTATGGACATATTTGTGTAGATAAGTTCCTTGCTTTCCAAAGCAAACTTTAGGGAAAGGATAGTGCCTTAATGTGAATGAGTAAACACTCCAAAGATGAAAGAAAATCACTTGTCTAAGCTTATCCTGCAGTCTTCCTTCCCTGTCCCCTTTCTTCCTCTTTCTTGGCGATAGAGTGGGTTTCCAGGTTTCATTTTTCTTTTTTTCTGGGATGAAGGGTGAGCTTTTGTAGTTTTAAGTAGCACAGAGGAGCTCCAAACTCCTCAACTCTTATTTCAGGAACTGTGTGAGGGGAAGGAAGTGTATTACCAGATATGTTTGCTCCCCCAAGTGTCCAGATGTGCTCCTCAAAGTTGTGAACTCTTTTTTCAGTCCAGGTTAATTTTGGAATGGAGACTGTGTTGAAGTCCCCTTGTGAAGAACAGCACCCTCATGAGGCTGAAGATTTCCATAGGAAGCATGAGCAGAACAACAAGCTTTCAGGTATGTGTCAAAACAGGGACTGCTAATATTACTTTTTGTTGCTGACATGCTGCCTTCTCATTTCAATAAGTTTCAGGATCAATTATAAGTTTGTATATGGTTTTGTTGTACAAACAATTCATGAAATGAAAACTTTAGAGGTTGCTTTTAATTTCAAGCATATTCCTGCTTTCTGCATAGTTACAAAACTTCAGCAGCAATAGTTGTCACAATTTGCTGACCCTATTATTTATTACAGAATATAAGAGGATACTAGTATTTCAAAAAGGCCATCCTTGAAAAGGAAATTTTCTGACCAAATAGACAAAATTAATATTCTGCCACTTACCTTATAATAGCAAAATTTATCCTTAAGTATCTTTAGATATGATTATGTGCATAAATTTACTGTTCTTGCTATTAACAGAGAACTTGGACTAGGAACATGTGCTGCAATAGGGTTTGTGTTGCTGGCTTTGGGGTTTCTTAGTGAATCTGGGCTTTCTGTATATAAACAGGAAGTATATTAAACATATATTGTTTAATAACTGTGAATAGTCAGCCAGCTTATATGTAATGATTACTGCTTTTGATAGAAATAAATAGACTTTATCCTTCATCTACACATCTATGTTCAGAATTTAATAAAAGATACTAAAAAAACCCAACTTTTTCCCTTCACTGGCAAATACTTTTACGTCATAGTAAGTCAAGAAATTGCATTAAAATCTGCTCACAGAAAATGCTGGATATTGTTATGATCATACGCTGAGAATACAGTGACTATATGTATATATATATATTTTTGATTTTGCTACTGATGGGGACATATATGTGTATATATGTATATGCACACACCCAACTGGGGAATCAGGCCCAGATGGTGTTTGAATATCATCTAACCACAAGGCAATCCAATCCATTTAGGGCTTTTCAGGGTCTTTACACCAAACACGGTGTTGAGTTAGTACATTCTCTGTGCTCAGGGCAGGTAGTGCTTTACACAGGATTTGCAGTGTGTCACCCAGCTGAAGGTGCTCTGACAGCACTGAACTTTGGCCATGCAGGAATCTGAATTGAGCACTAGGCGAAGCTGAGCAGCTGATGGGCTCTGTAGCAGTTATTGAGAGAAACTGAGTTATTGCTGTATAAAGTGAGTCAACCTACATGCTTGGGGATTCTTACAAGTCCTACTACGTTTCCAGCATATCAGCAATACTTTGAATATTATTCTGGTTACTTATGACTTATTGCCCTTGCATAAGAGTATAATAGACTTTTTGCGCATGCAAATGAGTTATATGTTTCTGTAAATTTTCTTTCTTTTTTAATTCATTTTTAGGATAAGATGTGTATGCACCATTTCTTTGTTTATTAATATTCCAAATATTAGTTTGAGACTACATCTCTGTAATAATTTCTTTTTCTCTTACAGAAATTAGTCACGGCCTCTACATACTTTTGAACCAATGACTTTAGTTTTCAGCACTCTGAAATAGATGTAGATTTAAGAACCTTGTTATTGTGTTGTGAATATCACTTGATCTTAAGTTTTAATTTTTTAGGCTTTAAATATGTATTTAGACTGATGCATTTTTGTACTGTATAGTTCAATGGCAAATTTACTAGCTTTGTGTTTCGTGGCACTACCTGGGACTTTTAATATGATGTGGCTGATCAAATGGGAATTGTTCCATCAGCTTCAATAGAAGTGAATGCTAATGCACGGTACAGAATACTTAAATTATAAAGATTCATAAAAATGGAAAATTACGTAATTTCAGCAAGAATAGCGAACAGCATCCTTGTCATGCCATCTAGTGATTGCAGTACAAAATGCAGCACCTTAAATGCAACAAACGTGTTCCTTGGGAATAACTGCATTTTTATGAATTGAAGTATAATTTGGTATCTGAAATATAGCTTGGATGTTGAATTAAGCAATGTAATTCCTAACATGTTTTCCCCTTCTTTTTTTCCACAGCAGGCATAAAAAAAGATATTGAAAAACTTTATGAAGCAGTGCCACAGCTTGCAAATGTGTTCAAAATTAAGGATAAAATTGGAGAAGGTAAATGTCTTATTTTACTTTGCTTAAACTTTCTTTTTTTTTTTCTGGTATTTCTGACTCAAAAGGTATACAGCTAAGATCCCAATATGTGCAATTTAATCCAGGTGCTTTTTTTATTAACTTGTGGTATATGTAGGAATTCTAATACACTTTTATATGTGTGTTTTAGGTAGGGAAAATAGATTTTCTTGAAAATTTGATAGGTTAAAATTTTTGACCAGACACTATTCTAGTTCTGACAACTATATTTTGGGGGGGCAGATTCAGGTAAATGTGTCTTGATGTGTCATTATTTTTTTCTTTTTACACGGAAATATGCAGCTACACATGTAACTACTGTTCTTTAAGTTGGCCTTGTTTTCACTGAAATCCCATGGCGGGAGGAGAGTGGACAATTTTAGCTGCTTTAATTTACTAAAAAAAAAAAAAAAAAAAACCTTTATTTTAGATATAGAGTATCACAGTTTAGAACACTTGTGTATTCCTGACATTCAGCAGATACCATTACAGATACTTTTAATTAAAAAGCTATGTGTGATTATAAATAGATTCTTAGGTGCTTCTAAAATAAGGGCCTTAAGTGCTTTTGGAAACTTTATCCACTTGATCTTTAAAATGTTTTGCTGCACTCTGCACTTTAAATGAATAAAAATGTTAATGAGAAGCTGGATTGTTTTTTAGCCACTTTTGATGGAACGCCTGTGATGGCAAACTAGATGGATATATATATATATATATATTTAAACTCGAATCAGCATAGTGATCCAAAATTCCAAAGGACTGGAGCTACCATAAGATCATATAGTTAGAGCGAGTCTCTAATAATGAATATTACATTTTGTTCTTGGAAGCATATGTTGCTTTAAAAAATGTCCTCAGCTGTTCTGCAGTGCTATGTTAAGATTAGGATTCCATTTAGAGGTCATTTTTAACAAATCCCACCACCAAAAATAGTCTTGAACCAACCCGGTAACTCCTGTTGCTACGATCAATTCTACTCAATTGATGAGACACCGATTTCAGAAACTCAGGCATTCTGATATGCGTATGCCTTTACAGACTGTTAGACCAGCATGATGCAAAAACACCTAAAATATAATCAAAATTATACTCTTTGTTCATGTGGAAGGACCCTTAGCCTGTGTGTTCAGGTATCTCAAATCATCAAGCTAAATTAACCTCCTTAGTGGTTTATAGAGTCTCTTAAAAAACTGCAGTATAAGCAGCTAAGCTTACTGCATAGCCTAGTGTCTTTTTCAAATGAGTGTATCACATTTTGTCTATGTAATGCCGGAAAAAAACAAATATTGAAGTTAAAACACGTGAGAAGTGTTACTTTATAGGTATGGTATCCTAATTAAGAAAAATGTTGCCATTTCAGAAGTGCTTTGACTAGCAAAGGTAGCACTTTCCAGAATAGCATTAAATAGTAAGCTCACATTGCAGGGAGGGAAGAGTTAGATGTCAGATAAAAGGAAGCTACCTAAACAAGAAAGCAAATCAAAGACAGGAAATTTACATTCAAAGAGCTCTGTGTCCCAGGCAAGTTAGACAGTGTTACATTTGCATTTTCACTGACGTGAAAGTCTTGTATACAAGATCACTGAATTTAGTAGTGGAAAAAAATGCATTCTTCTCTCCTGGAATCTGCTTTTGAGATAATTTTGAGTACGTTATAGGACTGTGAATAGATAGATCACTTCTGTAATATCTTAATTGAACTAATTAAAATGCTGAAGAGAACATTTTCCTCCTCCTTTACAGGTACTTTTAGTTCTGTTTACTTGGCCACAGCACAGCTACAAGCAGGACATGAGGAAAAGATGGCTCTGAAGCACTTGATTCCAACTAGTCACCCTCTGCGAATTGCTGCTGAACTTCAGTGCCTCACGGTAGCAGGGTAAGTAAACACGAGTTTCTTGTTTGTTTTGTCGCTCTAGCTTTTTCTAGCCATGCAAACTTGTATTCTTTATAGAAAGGGCGAATAAAAAATGGATGTCTTACTGATAATGGATGCGTAAGTCAGTCCTTTTCTAATTTCTGTTCTATTTTTCCATTTCAGAAATTCTGTGGTGTGGCTATATGATAAGAAATACTCCAATTCTGAAATGGTTGGGGAAAAAAAAATCTCTTCCTCAGAAAATATGTATTTAAAATGAATGCATGTTGCCAGAGGGTACTGATAACAAAGCATGTGGTTTGAATACCAGCACTTTAAACTAGTCGGTAGCAAGAAAATTGCATCCTGGATCTAAGTACAGTCCTAACTACAATCTGTGGCCTCCCAGATAATCTGTGGAGCCTTCAATGCAAACTGTAGAACTAAAATGGAACATAGGAAGGAGATAACAACGGTGTAGTTACTGACAGTTGCTAAGACTGCTGTCAAAGATTCTTTTTTGAAAGAAAGTATGACTGAAGTTTTCAAGAAATACAGGAAAATAAGTATCCTTTTTCTTGGTCTTTACTCACTGACATTACTTTTCTTTCAGGGGACAGGATAATGTTATGGGAGTTAAATACTGCTTTAGGAAAAATGATCATGTGGTTATTGTTATGCCGTATTTGGAACATGAATCCTTCCTGGTGAGTCCCAGACTTTTTATATGTACAGTAAAGCTTTCTAATTAAAAAAGGAGTTGCATAATTGCAGTATCCAAATAATCTTTCAGGACATTTTGAATTCTCTGTCCTTTGAAGAAGTGAGAGAATACATGTTTAACCTGTTTAAAGCTTTGAGGCGCATTCATCACTTCGGTATCGTTCACCGTGACGTCAAGCCCAGTAACTTTCTCTACAACAGGCGGCTAAAAGAGTGAGTCTGCCCAGATGATTGCTGTGATCTCACTGGGGAATGCGAGCCTTGGCAGAACAGAGTAATTTGGGCTTTGGAGTTTTTTTCCTTTCAGCTGCATAACACGTCCTTAACTATTAAAGCTAAAAAAAGGTGTTTTTTGTTTGCAAGCTAATGTAGTCCTACCTGTTTGGAGACAAGTGAATTGCAGTAGTATTACATGCAGTTGGGCAAAGCTGTCAGCATTGTTAAAATGTCTGTCCATCTTCACTATGGCCTCTGTCCATGGGAATCCTGCAAGAGTCAAGTTGCTTGTAGTTAGCAGCCAGCTGAGGCAGTTCTGAGCTGTAGGACTAGAAGGACCCAGAAAGGAGCTGCTGAAAATAGTTTTATCACAGTTATTCAAGAAAGAATACATTTTTTAAAGGTTTCAGAACAAGAGATGATGACTTAGGATAGGTATGGGATAAAAAATTGAGGGATAGATATGAAAAGCGGAGGAGGAAAATAGGATTGTAGTGCTGAAAACTATGGTTAAGTAACATAATGAATATAATATGGAAGAAAGATGAATAAGTAATGAATAGTAAATAGAATTGATTGATATTTTGTAAATCTTAATTCTAAATTTGTGTCTTCTAGGTATGCCTTGGTAGATTTTGGCTTGGCACAAGGAACCCCTGATACAAAAATTGAACTTCTCAAAACCACCCAGTCTGAAGGCCAGCAGGGAAGTTGTTTGCAAAGTAAACCCACTGTAACCTTGGGAAATGGAGTTTCTCTCAGTGTCACAGCAGCTAAACAGATAGCTCAGCAGTCAGCCTCAAAAGCATCTGATAAAAGGTCCAGCTCGCTCTCAAAAGCACAGATTAAGCAAGGAAGAGGAGGAAAGGTTCTCAGTCTTTTTCATTAATATTGTTGTATGTTTAATGTATTCCTTCATCCAACAGGGGGAGATGCAATACTTGAACAAAAGCTCTGTGTGTGTCTTGCAGAATGGCAACACGCACAGAAACACAGTTTGCACATAGAGGTAGATAGTTTAAGTAATACTGTATCGGCATCATTCAGTATCTGTTAGTTATAATACAGTGTTGCAGGCTGTATAAAATCCTCCTGGGCTATTATTCAGACAGCCCCATATCTTTTGAAACACATTTTAGTGACATGGTGTGAAAGTCCTCCTCAACACAATAATTACTCATCTACGTTTAGCTCCTTAGTTGCATAACGAATGCAGTACAGATGACATTCAAATGTCTTGGGGCACTTCTGAGGTGTGATTTTTTTTGTAAGCATGTTTGCTGCTCTGTCTAGTAGACTGATCCAAAGTAAACTGATGCCTTAAACTGACTTACTCTGCAGCTGTTCTTGTTTTATGTCACTTCACACTTCTTTTTAGAACTGTCAGAATCTAGCTGATGTGTTAGATATGATCCTTATTGTCCTTTTCTTGGTATTGTAGGAGGATTCTGCACACCATTCTATCCAGCGCTCTGTCTTTGGAGAGAGGAATTTCAATGTCTCTACTTCCACATGCCAAGAGAACTCTAATACAAAAGTAAGAAAAATGACTCCTAAATAAGAGCAATCAGTTTCATATTTCAGAAGTTAGAGAAGTAATTTTCTACAGGTCCACAGGATCCTAGTGTCCAGTCTTAAAAGTTTTGATCAGAATGTTCTGAGCCCTTACTGACAGGCTTGAAGAATTTTTCCTTTCTTGTTCAATTCTTTTTGAAGCTTCAAGGAGCTAGTTACATAACTGTCTTCCTAGCTGATCTTGTTCGTATGTTAATTAATGTATTTTTCTACACAAGTATCTGTGTAATTGAGATGCATCTAAACGTATCTTGTGAAACTTGCTTTGCATTCAACAGCTGAAGCAAGAGAGAAGATAAATCTGTAACAAACATTTTCCTATACTTTTTATAATTAAAATGTAATCCGAGAAGAAAGTGGAGGAAACCCCAACTAAATTAGAGAGCTTGGCCAACAGCAATCTCTAATTCTATCAAGAGCAGAATTAGAACCACAGCTGCCATTGTGTTGCTTCAATATTTCTTTTCCCTCCTGTATAAAAAAGAATATTCTGGAATAACTATAATAGCTATAATAGCTTGAAAAATACAAATTATGTTGTAACTTCAGAAAACCATGACCATTGATGCCTAGTAATCATTGAAAAATATTTTCTAAAGGAGGGTGAGGAAATGAAGGACACAAAGAAAACTTCAGCATGTATTCTGTTGATGTTGTGATATTATTGGAAAAGTTTGCTGTCTTGTGTCCTCAGACTCCATTTTTTTGCTGCTGAGCCCTTCTTCTGTCTTATTTTATGGAATTACATATACAGGAAGGAAAGCTTCTTAAATATTTCACTTACTCTAAAATATCTATATTGCAGCTCGTAAAGCAATCCAAGATAATAGATGTTTCATCTAGGAAGTTAGTAATCAAGAAGAAGATTATTTCTACCAAAACAGTAAGCAATGGGGCAGCCAGAAAAGCTGCCAGTGGTTGTCCTTCAAACCTGACCTGTGACTGTTATGCAACAGATAGAGTTTGCAGCGTTTGCCTTTCAAGGTAATTTGCTTTGATAGTGTTGTAAAATTGTCTGTTTTGCTGTCAAGTAAGATTAGAAACTGAGATTTACTAGACAGTTGATTTAGTAGGTGAAAGATAACATTTGATCTGTGCAACTCTTAAAATGCTTAAGTATGCTCTTCTTAAACAAACATAGTTCATAGAATATTTGGTTGACTGCTATCTTTTTTTTCAATATTTGATTATCTACTTACCTGTGTTTAGTAAGTCACTTGAGTTAATTACCACACTTAGAGTAGACAAGGAATCTGTTTTTTATCTATTAGTTATCTAATAGATCTATACCATGACAACTGGATTAAAGTTTAGTGATTGGACACCCACCCTCTGAGAGCCTGAGTTCTCAGAAGCAGTTTGTATTCTAGAAATTAAGAAATGGAGAAAAGGACAAGGACAATATTTTATATTTGTTAATTTAAGGAAAGGTGTTTAATAAACATCAAAGAATCTGAATATTTGATTCAAATCCATCTCTATGCAGTTATTTTTAATTATGATCATCCATTGTCCTCAATTGCTGCATTAGAGAACATAGATTTATGCAGAGAATTCTGCTTACTAGGGACATTTATGAAATTGTGGTGTCCCTCTCCCCATGCTGACAAAATACAGTGATATCAAACATGAAGAAACATGAGTCTGAAACTGCACATGGCCCATAAGAAGGTGCTTAGTATATACAAGATGGCTCTAGAAAGGAAATTAAATGTATTTTAGTAAGAATAATCTCACACTTTTAGTTCAGCTAACAAAAATTTAAATTCTTGTCAACACTTGTGCTCAGAAGTGGCAAATTTTAGCTTGCTATAGATTAATATAAAACCGGAACTTCCGCTCCAAGACCCTAATGCATTTTTTGACTTTGGTTAATTAGTCTTAACTTCACAGTTTCCTGTGACCATAGAAGTCTAGCAAAAATTATGCGGCCCTTGAATGAAACTAAAATTGCCTTTAAAAAAGCATGCAAAATGCTAGATAATATATTAGTATGATAATGAGGCTGTTACCATATGCTAGATAGTATTTATGATAGATCATTTTAACATACTTAAAGGTCTACAAAGCCTTAATAAAACAGAGTTAAGCTGTTTATGCATCTTACAGAAGTATAGTCTAAAAGTAATTTTAAACATTATTATAACTAGAACTTATTTATCAATTTTTATATCCTAAACATATTTCCCTCTTTTATTATAAGGCGTCAGCAAGTTGCTCCAAGGGCAGGAACACCTGGATTCAGAGCACCAGAAGTGTTAACCAAGTGCCCCACTCAGACAACAGGTACTGCATAACACCCTGCCTTTTTTCATCTTTTGACTGCATTTATTTATATCGTGTTGTCTTTTTATGGGATTTTTCTGCTTATATATGAAGTTCATTTTATCATCCTTTCTAACACTGCTCAAGCATTTCCTGTTTATCTTTGTTAAATGTTCATTACTTAAAGTAAGAAGAAACCAAGAATATTTTATTCTGTGTTTGAAATTTGAATATATCTTTATCTGGAGGGTAGTGCCATATATAGGAGTTCATTATCATGTGTTTTTAAAAAGAAACAAAGCTGTAAGTCTTATCAAGCTTTTTGGCTTTTCCAAATGAAAAATCTTGAATAAAGTAGATGGGGGTGGGAATGACATTAGAATTTTCTAGAGAGACTCACAGTTTGCTTTTATAGCAAGTATAATTAACATTACGATTGCAAATGCATTTTTAAGAGTTGATTAGTCAATACTGCTTTTTGTCAGACTGTTTCTCCTTCCTGCTTTTTAGAAGTGCTTTTTAGAAGCTGGTGTGTAAATTTCATAACTTTCTTAACTAAGATTTTAGTTGCTATCAAGCAAGTAAGTTCCAGTAGACTGGTAAATTTGAAAGAAAAAAAAAAGATAATTAATGTATTAGCTGATGCAGCTAGGATAGGCACAACCTCTCCCATCTGGAGAATGAAGGACCAATAAAAGCAAAGCTGACTATTAAACATTAGATACGGGACAAAAGTTTTAACTTCGGAAAAGGGAGATAAATACAAGTGTCTTCAAAAAGTGGATTTAAAATAATGGTTTCCATCTATTTTTTTGCTTAATACCTTTTGGGAAAATTGGCAATTTTCAGCACTTAATATAAATTAAGTGTATATACACAGTCAGAGTAGACTTACTATGCACTTGGTCAGCACATCTTCACAAAGTTTAATGGTTTTTTTTTTTAAACATCATCTGGGCTGTGGCTTGACTGGGATTTTGAGAGGTATGGCAACCTGTTTGGAGTGCCTGTGCTATAACAGCCAACATTATGGGCTAGAAGACATCCAGAAATCCAGGACAAATTTAGACAATCTCTAAAGCTGTCTAGACAGAATTCAGTCAGCAAGAAGACATACCTAGGAAATCTTAGGCACATAATACTCTTAAATATGCCTTCAGCCAGTTTTCTGTTCTCTAAGGTAATAGAGAGCAGGCATAGAAAATCTGGGTAAATGAGACTGACACCCCTAAAAGCACCGAGTCGGTGGTACAGAGTTTCTCTAGTGTTTCAGCAAGGGGCTTAATTAGCATTTGCTACAGTAATACTAACATTTATGAGATCATGTTGTATTTGAGCTAACAAATCTCCTTGCCCACTTCCATCTGGGACCGCTGTAGCCCCCTCCTTGTGCTGCCCATCCTGCCCCTGGCTCTGGTCCCTGTGCGGAGCCAAGTGCCCAGCTGGGCCCAGCTGGCTCCACGGAGCCACCCGGCTACCCCGGCTCCCAGCGAGGGCGACGCGCGGCCCCTCCTGTCACTCACACTGAAGGGGGGGCCTCGCACAGTTCGGTACCACCGGGCTGACGCTCAGAGCAATCCAATGTGGGGAGAGGTGATACACGATGCTGCAAAAAGCTAGCATGATCGGCTCAGCGGTGGCATGCTACTACTAAAATTTTTTAATGGCAACTGTTAAAATGCAATATTCTTCCATTGAAAATTGTGCCCATAATTAACTCAGATTTATTTTTAATTTTTTTTAAATTTGTTTTTGCAATAGAAGTCAACTTAGAAATCTGTTTTCAGAGCCTTGTGCTGATAGTCTCTACTTATAATACGCAAATTAATTATTGACTTGTATTTTTTTTTAAGAGAAGCAACCGGCTTTGTCTTCCAACTGTTAATTTTTATCTTTAGTGTTTCAGAGAATTCTCCCTTTCACTTTCCTTGCTCTCGCTCAAAATGTGCAAATTAGCAAGCCAAAAAGTTATGGCAGACAGGTATTTTCATAACTTTCAGCATTAAAGTTTCCATCATGCTTTGGCTTCTTTCCCCAGAGTACTCTCTGTACTCTTCATAAAGCAATGGAAGTGATGAATAACTCCTCACTGTTACAGTTCTTAAACTGGCTATCTTGTCAAGTGATTTCAAGCGAGGGGGACAAAGTCTGTAATAAGATAAGCTTTTTAGTACAGCCTGTTTGGCAGCCCAAGCTTCCCCAAAAAATAAGATTCATATTCACTGCAAATTTTTTTTATGTTCTAATATGACCTTTTCTTTAGCTGAAGCAAACTTAAATAATCATTAAAACTTATTTCAATTACTCCACTTGTAAAAGCATTAATTCATAATTAAAACAAATCCTGCATAGTTTAATGCATTTTTTTTAAGTTTAACAAGTGAAATCACTCATGTGAGCAATTCCACAGAAAAATTTAAACATTTCCCCTGCATTAACCCAAGAAATTATTTTTATATCTAATTATAGCAATTTTCACTGTTGAAATGTTATCAATGCGACCAAAGTGAATAAGTAACTTGTTCTGTTAGCAACTTTTCTGGTCATAATTCCTTTTAAAGCAAGCTGAGTTTGTTTGTGTGGATGCTGTGAATGTGTTTACTACTAAGATCTCTTTCAATGGCAGCAATCGACATGTGGTCTGCAGGAATCGTATTCCTTTCTCTGCTCAGTGGACGGTATCCATTTTACAAAGCAAGTGATGATTTAACTGCTTTGGCACAAATAATGACAGTTCGTGGATCCAGAGAAACCATTCAGGCCGCTAAAACTTTTGGTATGTGAACCTTAATTATGGGGGAAAGGGGAAAATGCATGTTGGTCTGTTATATAATACAGTGACTTAAAATACACTTTTTAAATCTTCTTTTAAGAAGGTAAATTTTTAGCTTTGAGAGCCATTTTGGAGATGCATTTAATACTGCCGTTAGTACTAATCTAGAAATGCAAGAATTAAATTTTTGTTTTTATACCTTTTATAAGTTGTCATGTTAGAGTATAGCCAGCCTGACTGTATAATGTCTTTCACTGCATCAGGGCCACTTGAGGTGAAATTTGCCAACTAATGATTTCTTTTGGAATTAGTTAGAATACTTGAGGTAATGTTTCTATTCCTGCAAAACTAGCTCTGGAGTCTTAAGTCAATATGACTTAATATTTAGATGATGTCAACCTTTTTTTTTTTTCCCTCCCTAAAGAAGGGCCAGTTGTTTTTGTTTTCAAAGAATATATATACATCCTTCTCTAATTGTTTGCAAGCCAAATGTTGCAGCATCTGATACCTACCAGCAAACCTGGCAGCCTTAATTCTCATGCTCCAAGCAGTGCTATTTAGATCAGGAATGAAAGTAACAGACCGCACTGAGTGCTTATTTTTTCCAGTTCTATTCAGATGACATTTAGAATGGAAAAAGATGCTGTGTACATTGTTAGGGTGGGTGACAACATGTCACTACATAATTTTATGAGCAAACCCAAGCAAACAACTTTACAGCTTTCTTCACAGTAGAACTGACACTATATCCTTTTGGCTTCGTTTGGTGGAAACACTGAGAAAGGGGCCCATTGCTGTAAAACAGGCCTGAGGTTTGGGTGTTTGTTTCTTTCTTTTTTGAAACCTGGCACTTGAACTGATGTCAGGTATGCCTCAAGAATATTGATGAAATGTCTCTGAAACAAAACTCAGAGGACATGGTTGACTACTAAGCATAATAAAATATTGCTTATTCTAAGGGTTTATCTTTTTTAATATTTAAAAAATTATTTTTAGGCAAGTCTGTTCTGTGTACCCAAGAGGTCCCAGCACAAAATTTAAGAACCCTCTGTGAGAAGCTGAGAGGAACAAACAGCAGCTCTACCAGATCCAAGGGTGCCCTGCACAGCGATTCTCCAAACGACCCGGCTTTGCCCCTGGAAACAGACAAACATTGTGCTACGAAGACACTTGGAAAAGAAGTTCAGCACTTGCAGAGCTGCCAGGAAGGTGATGGTGCTTTAGGGAATAAGGCAATAGACATGAAAGGTTGGGATCACGTTCCTGATGATGCATATGACTTACTTGATAAGTTACTGGACTTAAACCCTGCGACAAGAATAACGGCAAAAGAGGCTTTGCTGCATCCTTTTTTTAAAAATATGAGACTTTGAGAAGACACCATATTCTATTATTGTTTTGATATCTTTTTATGTGAAAATAAGATACAGAATAATTACAATTACCTTGTTGCCTTTAACATTTACACTCAGTGAAACAGCATTACACTGTGCACAGAACTAGTGAGCTCTTACGTTTGCAGTCCAGCTATACAAGATAAGTTCACTTAAATACTTGCAAATGTGAGTATCACAAACATTGCTAGTGTGATCTTATCCTAGGACACTTTTGAGGTGCTATTACTGTGCATACCTCTTCTGTGAGGAAAATCAATGTTGATCAGAAGCCGCATAGAAGAGCTTCACAAGCTCAGAGTTTACTTCTCAAGATAGCCTGGTAAAATTCATAAATTTGCCTTAAAGTATTAACTGAAATGAGAAAAGTGCTTCAGAAACACTTTTCCATACTTCTATATCTTTGCTTTGTTCTGGATTAACATATCAGAGACTAGAAAAAAAAATGCAAAGTGTTAAGTTTGTTCAGATTGTTCTCAGCAAACGCTTTTACTTAGAGAATGTTGCTAGAGGAGGGGCCAAACAGTGGAGGCTGCATCATCAGAAGGAAAGGTAACTGCTTCAAAAGCACACTTCTCCCCATCTGTGCTTCCCTACGGAGGCAATAGTTGTAAGTGCAGCAATGCATTTTGCACAACCTGTAGAGTTCCAGGGTGACATTGGGGAACTGTCACTAGGCACCAGCTACTGCCTGGGGCCTGTCTCCTGTGACCTGCATAGGTGTCAATCTCTGTTAGGGAAACTGATTTTCACAGAGCATCTGTTCAATAAAGGATTTGTTTTTATAACTTCCAAAGATTGTCTAGAAATGCATGTGTAAACCAGAGAGTTGGGTAGAGGTTTCCTGTGGGATGTTTCTGTTCCGGAAGACACATACTGGTGTGCAAATTCTTCAATGATGGAAAATGCTTTTCAGCTAGGTATAGTGCAGCTGGATACTAGAGTGGAAGCACCTTGTTTATCAAGGAAGTCTTACTACAGGATTGTAAGCTAGTTTGTTGCCAGGTCCTAAGTAGGAAAAAACTCTCATTAACTTCTAACTCGCAGTTTCACTGTGCAAGACGAGCTGTATTATGTGCAGCAGCAACTTCTCTAAATATGCCTGATAATTTTGAGGGGCTATACTTTAGTGCAATGTCTTTCCATATACGTTTCTTGAAATACTAATGAGTTGCTGCTATAAAAGGTTACAAGCCACTCCGCAGAGGAGATCGCTGCTTTGATAACTTTTATAAAGCTTTCACATACACACTAGTGGTTATGAGAGTGCAGAAATCCTCACCAGGGCTGTGGCTGAACAGCAATTATTTCTATATACTTAAAATCTTTAACATGCACAATCTGAGGGTAATATTGCTCTGTTTCTGGCATCAGCTGTTAAAGAAAAATATTTGCAGATGTCAGAATACTGATTGCAGAAAATCTTGAAACCCACAAAACCCTGGGGCCTAGGTCTTAGTAATTTTTGCTGTTTATATAATTTCAACACAGCACGTCACTGAGAAATTATTTATCTAAAGGAACTGTGGCCAAATTTGGCAAGCGATTCTGTCTGCCAGTGTCTGCAGATGTATTGTTTCCTCCTACATTCACTCACGCTGTCTATGGTCTTATGAGAGCACTAGCTGACAACAAGCAAAAATGTCAAATATCTCTGGTCAGCTTTGTAAGTGACTTGAGCTTTGCTGCTAGGCACTGCTCTGAGAAGCTCCTTGCAGCAAGCAGTGTAATGTAGCTACCCCTGCAGGCATTTATCAGCCAAAAGAGGAACATCACTGCTAACGGTGGCTGGGAGCAAAATAAAATTGAGGGGGGCAATTTTAAGCTCCATGTATTTGATAGCAAGTTAAAGGCAACATTGTTGCTTTTTGTTGTTGTTCTTTTATTTTAGGTAAAATGAAAAGAAACATGTACTCAAAAGAGCACATTTTAGCACTCCACAGAAGGATGAAAACCAGAAGTAAAATGTTAAATGCAAAATGGTCTGTTTGGAGTGAGAAGGAATTAACATTTTGATAAAAGGCTTATTAGAAAACAGCAAGAAAATACAGTAGCAACAAGCAGTAGTTGCCACTGATCCATAACTCAAGTTAAGGAGTTGTAACAGGTTTAGGAATCTCAAAGATTCCTTTGAAGTTTAATTATGTGACTTGAGATCCTTATAAACTGACTGTGAATCTCCAGCTCTGATAGACGCTATTCAAAGAAAGGGCTGAGATAACATTGCTGCAACACATGTGCAGCAGTGGGGAGGCTACAGCTGGATTACTGTTGGGTTCTGGACATGCTATGACAAGAACATTAATAAATTGGTCAGATCCCAAAAAAGGCTGGAAAAAAAAGACCCTATGAACTTGGAAAAGAAAAGAATAAAAAAGGGATACATCAAATCCTGAGAAAAAAATGCTGGGGACAAATCTAGACTCTTTTGGCTTTTTCCTCCCCAAATTTTGTATTTTTCAGCTGTGTATATAGCAGGGGGACAACAAGGTTACTTTCTGTAGTAAGCAAGGCTAGAGGAGGAAATTATGGCACACCTTAAGGTTACAGTATTTTTTGCTGTTAGTTGTATATTATAATTTGGAAACAGGAGACACCCTATTAAAGGACCCTGAGGAGCATCAGCAAAACTGAAAAGTTTTCTGGGTAGCTCTGGTGATAACAGATAAATGAAAATCTAAATCCTAATGAGCTTGTAAATCTGTTGCTTTTAGGCTTAGGCTCAGTGAAGTGTTGAGTTTATTTTAAATATTTAACAAATAAGAAAAGAAATGTGAAAACCATGCTCTGTTTGAGCATACCAAGTCCTGTCCTTACCCGATGCATCTCGGAAAGCTGGAGGCTGCCAGCAGACACCCCGGACGGCTTCTTGCTGGCCGAGGAGCGGCAGCGCTGCCGGGACGCAGCCGCTGCTGCCCATGCGGGCGCAGGGGGGACTCCAGGTGCCTCTTGGCCTTGGCAAGGCTCCCTCCTCCGGCACTGCAGCCCCAGGGCTGATGGGCTGTGAAAACATTTACACAACCAGCCACTACCTGGCCAAGTGCCTAGGGTCACAAGCTAGAGTGGACCTGAAGGTGCAGCATTAAAAGGATTTTCATTCAGCAGCCCCTCTGACCGGGGCAACAGAGGAATCGATGCATTATGATTTTGCAGAAATAAAAAGTCGAGGGAACTAATGCAATTCTAGTTGCAGTAAAGCTTTGTATTGTAGAGAGGATTGCCAAAGAAAAATTATTTCTTTTATGAAGAGACTTTTCCTAGCGTCCTTCTAACCATTATGTTCTAGTAGTCAGAAAAAAAGCCCTACAGAGTAGCTCTCTTACTTGCCACAAGTATTCCTGAGAAAAGGCCCTCTTCTGAACTAGCTGCCGTTTTAAAAGAAGTGTTTGCATTTAGAGGGGCACAAGGTCATAGAAGTCAGGAGAAAAAAAAAAGAAGTTTAGTCATATTTGTTTAATTTATCATAGCAATTCAAAGACTGTTTGGAAGGTACTTGAAGGTACTTACTACAGCAGCAGCATTTTAGAGGAAATTAATACATTTTAAGATTTCCAGAATTTTATTCTACTACCAAATGATACTGTGTCTCAGTTGGTAGCCTTGGAGCAAGGACAGTTCCCCAAACTGTTACTCAAGCAGAGTTCTCTATGCCACATGGCTGCAAATGTGTATGTTTTGTTGGCTTTCTTGAGCATAAACAGCTTTAAGTGATTTGCTTTTCTGCTAACACAGCCACAGCTTGCTAACTTCAAATTCATTTGGCACCTTTTGCAGAGGGTGGTGCAGTGCCAGGCTGGTGGCAGTGCATACATGGCAAATGCTCTTGTCGAGGGCTGCATTCCT